GCGGGGAACTCTGCAAAAAACGCATCTTCGCACGGGCAGCCCGTGCGTTGGCCAATTTTTTTTACATGCGACGAGGCTAGCGCTCAACTCCCAAAGGTTGGATATGCCATTACCGAGGGTAAAAATTCTTGTTCTCACTCCTTCACCCCATGTAGTTTCAGTGCAAAGTTAATCAACACCCACCAAACAATAATTTACCTGTTTAACCCTCCCTCCCTCCCCCCTCCCTCTCCACATTGTCCTCCTCTCTTCCCCCGCCCCTTCCTCACACTTCTAATTCACGTGAGCTGATAAAGCAATTTTACCTGTCTCTTCTTTCGAAGCTGCTTGATTTGGCTGATTTCGTGGAAGAAATGTCTCACTAGCCATACGACGGCTATTCTTCCCAAATCCGTTTCTTAAATCAATGATTTTATCGAGGTTCAAAACTTCAAAGCAATCTGCTACTCCCTCAGTTCATGCACACTGTTCTGAAGTGTAATATCCACCATAATGATCGCCTCTTTCACTCTGACGGACACTCACTAAAGCTGGGCAACGCTTGGCCGCGCAGCATGCACTCACTTTGAGGATCGGGTTCGATTACGAAAACAGTGATGTGGTTTATTCTGTCCAGGAACCAGCGCCCAAGACTGCTAACTTCCCCTCAGCACCAAGGTTCAGGCTGAGCATGAAAAACCCATTCCGCGCTACATCAGGGTGCCGTGTTGTGTGAGATGCTTAGGTGCGATTTAACTCACAAAAATACTTAAACGAGTCTAGCGTAGTAGGTGAGAAAAGGATGAATGAAGCAACACGAAAAACAGTGGATACAAACCTTGAAATAACCCTTTTGGCTCTGCGAGGCATTGCACTGCTTTTTCTATTCTCGACGCTTCCGGAGCTGCCTCTACTGCAACAAACTTATGCCGCAATTATCAATTATAGCACATTCATTTCACATCTCTACGCCTAAGTACATCAAAAAGCAAACACAGATTGCGCGGGTGCGAAATGTGCCGTTAGATGGCAAAGCTAGAGAAGCTAGAAGTTAGATTGCACAAACCTGACTGCCTGCTGGAATCCATGCCGCTCGGACGTTTTATTCACTTTTTTCTGATTCTTATTCGGCAGGATGGTCATCTCTCCTGTAACACAAAACAAACGATGCATCTGGACAACAATAATCTACTCCGTCTTCATTCCCCAACTCTCATCATTGAAATTAATCATGAAACCAAACAAACAAAAGTAACTAACCGAACAAAAACTCCCCGAAGCACTGCAGTAAGATAAGAAACTTCTAAGGCAATTTACTTGAAGCGCACAGAACACAGGCACATAGTAATGACAAAATTTACTCCGAGCACAAAACAAGCAAATCGAGCACTGCGAACATATTCCGGCCAAACATTTTGCGCACCATAATGTGCGCTACGAAATACGCCCAAAAACACCAAAATGGTGCTAGTACAAAGACAAAACGGCATCTGTAGCAAAAACAACTGAAAGTATGATAACACAAGTTGAAATCAATCATGAGACTTCCTCCGCTAACATTGCAGCAGATCGAATTCAAAAGCGTTACAGATGAAACTGAACCATACAGAACGGGGAGAGATCAAAGCTTTTTCTGCAGCAAAATATGCACTGTTAATGATTGATTTCCAAACATGATATACGAGATTTCCATTCATCAACACATAGAAAAATATCGAAAGAACGATGGCAATAAAACTGGATGGCGATGCAGCGATATCTTCGTGAACAGTAAAACCCAAAAATTTTGAGCACATCAACTCACTTCCAAACGTCTTCCCGGTGCCAGTGTTTTTTAACAGACAGACACACTCGCTTCTGGCTGCGAAAAAATGCCAATTTTGCATCGAGGCTGGAAGGGCTGCTGATAATTTCCCCAAGAACTGCAAGATAAATGTGGGGGGCCCGATGGGCTCAACATGTGATTCTGTGAAAGGTGCGGTAGAACAAATAACTGGTTGCTGCATTGAAGACACAAACAGTTTAATCACTTCCGCAACTACATACAATCGAGTTCAGACGAAAAGATCCGACGCCTCGGAGGAGACGAAGAAATTTCGAAGGAGGCTTTTACGGGATTCGCACTCGCGGCTCCCTCAGTTCTTCAACAGGGTTGTCGATGCCGTCGCTCATTTCGATCAGCGCTCGTTCGAGGATCACTTTTGCCTCCTTATATTTCTGCGGTTCGTTCATCGCATATTCATACATCCATCCCAGCTTGGTCTTAAATTCATTAAGCATTCAGAACATCAAAGACGCGCTCACTACAGTTTTAATGCGTTTGCCACTCAGCGATACCTTGCTACAAACCCGGTCCCGCCCAGGTACCTCACCTTATCGAGTGATGAGGCACTACTTAGGCGTCGATAAAGTACAATGAGCTAGATAATGCCTGCATTATCCGCACCAAATTTGGGCAGCAAAAATCCTTGCAGACCAGCTAGCCTGATTTTCAAAAAAAAAGACGGGGCTTAAGAAAGTTTCTTAGAATCTGGTGCTTTGCGCAATTTCCCACTCAGTCCTAGCGCTGAATTGGTAAAAATGCGCTCTTACAGGAAGGACAACTTTAAGCGCACTTTTTATGCGTTTTTTGCAGCAATGCAATGCGAAAAACGCATACTGACGAGAGGTTGTCTGTGTGTGTGTGTGTGTGTGTCTGTGTGTGCGCTGCGCGTGTACCGATTTTTCATCTCGAGACCGGCAAAAGCTACGGGGCTGAAACTTTGAGGGTATAATCTACAATTTTTCATCTCGAGACCGGCAAAAGCTACGGGGCTGAAACTTGGGGGGTATAATCTACATGCACGTATGAGCCCCCATCCCCCGGCAAAAGCTACGGGGCTGAAACTTTGGGGGTATGATCTACATGCACGTACGGGCCCCCATCCCCAAAATGGGCGCCAAAACCCGCGTGGTACTCGCGCACGGGCCCCCCAAAGTTTTTTTGGGGTCAGTTCATAACTCAAGGATCTGAGAAGCTAGAAGGCTGA